TAAGGCCCGGGCCCCTTGAGGTTGCGCGCGGGGGGGGGGGGGGGGGGGGGTTACCCCTAACCCCCCGGGAGCTCCTGGCTCCAAGCAAATCTACCGAGAAAGTTGAGGAGCACGTGTTGTTGTTTTCGTGATGAGCTTGTTGGATCCTATTATAAGAGTGACAAAAAAAAAGAAACGAAAAAAAGACGCTGGCTCTTCACCGCTAGGTCGTGGATTGGCTCGAGGTGCGAGTGGTAGTGCTTGACGAACTCCACCCCTTCCGGCATCTTCTTCCAGAACTTGATGTGCCCGTCCAGGCTGGCCGTGACCAGAAAGTCGGTGCCGCAGGGGGTCATGAGGGCGTGGCTTACCACGTCCCGGTGCATGTAGCTGCGCTCGTACATCGGCGCCGCGGGCAGGGCTTCGAGGTACACCTGCTTGGACGTCACATTGTGGGAGAGCAATCGCATCGGTAGGTACAAGCAGGGCGGGCGCTTCGGTCTATACATGTTCGGTGTGGGAGAGCAATCGCATCGGTAGGTACGAACGAGGTGGGGTTTTCCGCCCAACGCGATGGTGGTACCCTACGGCAGATGGTATTCTACGGCAGATGGGAAGGAAGGTACACCTGCTTCGACGTCACATTTTGGGAGAGCAATCGCGTGAAAGGTACAGACAAGGTGGGGCTTGCCGTCCAAATGGGCGGTGGGACCCTACGGCATATGGCGAGGCAGGCACATGGTTGGCGTCACACTGTAAGCGAGCAGGCATGTTGAAGGGAACGCGTAACTGCACACACCTTTTGAGACGGAAATCATTTCATTGGACAACCGCTTCGGTCGGCCGATCCTACCGTAACTAAGGAAACACACACACATATTATCTTTAGAAATGCTTCCTCAGGAGCCCTGAGACTAGCGTCTAATCTCTGGCTAGCCGGTTGGCGCGGTCGATGCCAATGCCCCCCCTTCGATCAAGATACGGATAGGAACGATCGGTCCTGTGGGAACAATGCTCAGTCCTCTCGAGGACGCGTGGTCAACGGTCTAACAGCTAAGGCGCGAAAAACATGAGTACACCCCATCTTTGTACACGATTTTTTAGCCGCCCTGAGACTGATGTCTCTTCACCCGTCAGCCGGTTAGCGCGGTCGATGCGAAAGACCCCCCTCCCCCCTGCACCGATCCATCCTATTCGAGGTCAACAGTCTAACGACTACGGCGTGCGTTTACACGAGTACACCCCCCCCCCCGTCCACCTTTTCGTGGGCCAGCTTCCGCTTCTTCTTCTGCTTCACGGGGGCCGGTGCCGGCGGCCCTGCCTCCCCGTCCGTGTCCGAGTCCTCCCCTAGCTGCCCAGGCGCCGCAGGCTGAGGCCCGGCTTCGTCATCGGAAGAGGATTCCGACTCTTCCGGCTCCTGCTGCGCTTTCTTTCGCTTAGCGATGCTGGCCTCGTCATCGCCTGGCTTGGCCATGTTTTTGGCTTATTCCCCGCTTGGCTCTCTCACTGCGGGCAAGGGTGGATGATATTTCAAGGGCGGTTGTGCGTTGGTTTGGGGTACGACGAGATGCGGAAGCAAGGATGCGGTGTTGTGGTTAAGTTACGACAGAGACGTATAGGGGATGATTTTTCAACCCGCTGTATTACTCGTTGGCCTGCTTTCGTGAAGGAATTCGGTTGAACCATAATACAAAATGCCCGCCTTCGCCTGGCTTCGCCATGATAAGTTGCCGCTTGGCGCAGGCCAAGTTGGCTTACTTTCGAGGGTGGTTGTGAGGTGTCTTTGGGTTACGACGAGATAGGGAAGGGGGGCGCTGACGGTATTGCAAGAAAGTTACACGGACATGGTTCTAACCTGGTGTGTTGTTGGTCTACTAATTTCGTGGAGGTACTCTGTTGAACGGCTCAAGAAAACGGTAGTATCTCAGACAAGAACGTTGGTGGTACGGGAAGATGCACGCTAAACACATCAAAGCCGACGTTGCGAGTAGTATCTGCTGTTGCGTCGCTAGAAATGCTGAATTGTGACATGCTCTCGCTGAGACACAGGAAGCGACAGACCATCAGTAACCCGCCCTGGTATATCTGTGGGGAGTCGCACACAGCAGACACCACCGAGGCGATCTGGTGGTGAAGGTGTCCCGACGCGCCCTAAAAATGATGGTGTGCGCTGTGGAGATCGTGAATGACGCAAGGCACCATTCCTCTTCAGTGGTTGCATGGTACACTAATTGACAGCAGCATGTATGTGTTGAGTTTTGGGTCTAAACGGCGTGTGAGTTATCGATTCATCACACTGGTGACCGAAGAGACTATGGGGACGAAACATATCTACCACCCGCTTTACACAGAGTACCGCACACAGCAGGTGAAACTGATGATACCACAAGGGGCGTGGTATCTAACGTCATGTACTGCAGCCCGATACAAAGAGAAGAAGGCGACGTCTCTCTCCCAGCACAGAACTTAGTTCAAGGGCGCTTATGTCCTGGGCATTGCCATCACGGACTGATGCCTGTTGTACTTCTATAGCTGCCTTTCGTGATTTTCAAGATCGCTACTATTTACAACCTCTTCACGTTGCCTCGAAACAACGCGGCTGGGGCATGGTGTCGGGAGCATCTGCTGCTGCCATTTATTTGCCCACGAAAGGTCAGACCCCATATGGTCATAATTCAGCAGTAGAAGTGAGTGTCACAAGCATCGACCGGGATGAAACAACTGAAATCTGGAGCTCGCCTACGGCTGTATATCCTGGTTATCCCCTGCACTGGCTGTGCTGGAAGACTGATACTCATGATGCCTGAGATATGTAGTATTATAGACACTTGCTGTTGTACAGCAGTACCCATGTGAAGCAGCAGCTGCAGTTGTTAGAACATCCAGTTTCTCAAGGGGCTAAGGGCCATTTCCCAGCAGCTCGATTGCGTAAGAGAGAGGCACACAGAGAACATCAACACTGCAAGGTGTCTACACTTCTGAGCGCCAACGTTGACCCAGGGCCAACAAACACGTCTCCGAAGCCAGCAGCGGCTGGCACGTTGGACGGAGTGCGTTGCGCAGCAGGGGGTGACCTATTCCGTATCAGGCTACGACAAACGAATTATCGGTGCCTCGGGAACCAACCACGGCCACCCCGGGCCAGGCAGCTATTAACACAAATAACTCTGTTTGCACGCACCTGACTTGCGCCTTGGATAAGTTGGTTGCCGGCGCTACACTCTGTCGGTGTACCCAGCCAGTACGCTGAGAGCGCGGCTGATCCTGTGAAAGCGGCACCGGAAAATCATTGCATGTACCCACTTCCGAGGAACCGCATAATGCACGCCCCCCCGGACGTTGGTTGCGTTGGTTGCAAGCGGGCGTATCACTACACTCAGGCGCAGCAGACCACCGTCCTCCTCAGCTGCAGACTCGGAGGGACGCTCTTGATCAGGTAAACATTGAGTTTCCCGCTGCGGTCAGAGACAGAAAGTGGCTGCATTGGACGGGATATATCGCTGCTTCCAGGCTGCTGTTCCAAGACCAGTGACACATGATTATCCCCCCTGTTCTTCATCACGACTAATAAAAAGGCCTGCCATGTTGTTGTTGTTGTTGTTGTTGTTGTTGTTGTTGTTGTTGTTGCAGTTGACGTTGATATCGTTGTCGAGGTACTTGTGTCCTGCTCTTGGTGTTGCTGGTGCCTACGCCTGCTAGGTTCGTTTTCCTCACAAATCTTTGAAAGTGGGTCTGAATATCGCATCTTCGGGCCACATGAGAAACGTTGGTACAATATCGACAAAGCAGGATGTTGTACAGCATATCCCTGGTACGGCGGACAGCGCCACGTTTGAGCTGGCTTGATCGTAGCAGCTGTTGCATTGCTCAGGATGCAGCTCTCTCTCTCTCTCTCTCTCTCTCTCTCTCTCTCTCTCTCTCTCTCTCTCTCTCTGTCTCTCTCTGTCTCTCTCTCTCTCTCTCTCTGTTTTCTCTATTGTTCATCACCAAATGCTGATACTGCGATGTACTTGCCCAGCACCGAGAACCCTCCGACTTCCGAGGTGAAGTTATCTGTAGTCCCTTGGTAGTCCGTTGGTGCACCGGAACGGACCGTTGAAACGTGGTGCGAATAGTAACAGTCTACCCTTTGGTCTACCCGTAGATAGCGCCCGCTAGTTTAGCGACCGATGTACCTATAGGTTTCGCCAAGGTTGGGGTCCGTACGTGCAGTTCCTCTTGTGGGATACAAATGACCGCTATATACATGGGTGGTAGTTCACGGTTTCTAGGTTGACCGGCTCACAGACGGTGCTCAAATTCAAACAGCTGTCCTCAAGATATCACACCGCCTGGACCGATTTTCCGTACGTGCAGTTCCTCTTGTGGGCTGCAAATGACCGCTTTATAGGTATTAGTGGAGGGTTTCTTAGTTGACCGGGCTGCTCACAGGCGGTGCTCAATTCAAACAGCTGTCTCAAGATATCGGACCGCCTGGACCGGTTGTTCTCAGCTCGACTGTACACGCCACGACGAAGAGGACATACGTATACCTCCTGGATTAAGTCAGACTATACGTTTTCGGAGAGCTCCCGACGAGACGGTTGGAATGCCGCCATTGTGGGCACCGCTACTCGTTGCTGCTGCTGCTGCTGCGGAGTAGCAAAACTTCGAGAATCGGCCCAGGGTGTGTGTGATATTTCCGCGTCACCTACACGGCGGTGGTACCCCGACGACTTTGCTGTGCTCCATAATTCGATGCGTTCACGGGCGTACGCTTCACGGTTCAGGTTCAAGTTCTTGTTCGGTTACCATCATCTAGCTAGGCCAATATACAGCGGTTAGTCTAGGATCCACGCAGGTGATAATAATTAGAATTTAGAGCAGGATCCGCCGCAGACCTGCGTCTTGCTTCTCGTCAACGCCTCCAGACTTACTCGCGGGCCTTTCCTCTCTCGTGTGTGCACCACAGCAGGGGCTCCGTCGATCGACCTGCTGTTTCCTCTCTCCGACAAGGAGAATGGAACCGGCAGGCGGCGAGTCACCAGCACGTGCCGCTTCGGGAGCGCCGACCAGGGGGAGCGAGAACGATGCCTTGCTCGGATGGGGAAGCGGCGGCAACGCCAGCAACACGATGATTCCTAGCACCGTGGGGAGGGGGAGGGGCAAGGGCAGCAGCAAGCTGAAGGGGGGCTCCGGCGACCGCGGCGGGACGACCGCTTACACGGAGGGACCGCTAGGGTCTGGCGCTAGGTCTAGGATGGCTTCCTACGACTCGGCGACTACTCTTGGCCTACCGAGGTAGGCTTTGGTATTTGCGTGTGTTGTGTGTGTTTTTTTATTATTGGCATCGACCGCGCTAACCGGCTGGCCAATGAAAAGACGTCAGTCTTAGTGCGGTCTAAAAAAAAAAAACACTGTATCTGCCATGAACTGGGACCCCGTGAGGGTGAGGGGGCAATCGGGGAGGCTAAACTATCCTCCGGACCAAAGACAGAAACGGTAGCAACAGAAGAAATGTTGTGTGCGCGTGTTCTGCATGGTTCGTTCCTGTCGGGCTGGCCAATGGAAGGACGGTCCCGCAAATGGCGTGGTTCGTTCCTGCCTGGCTGGCCAATGAAATGACGCCAGTCTGTGTGCGTTTGTTTTGTTCTGTTGGCATCGTTAACCCAGTCGACTGACCCAATGAAATGACGCCAGTCTGTGTGCGATCGTTAATCTCGTCGGCCGGCAAATGAAATGACTGTGGTCTGTGTGTTTGTTTTGTTCTAAGGGGTAAAGTCCACTCCAAACAGCTGACCAATGAAATGACGCCAGTCACAGTGTATTTGGTCCCATTGTTCTCGCACGCTTACCCCGCTGAAAATGAAACGATTCGAGTCTCATTTCGGCTATAACCAGAAGAGTTGCTAAAAAGCCATAATCTGGGACGCGGTCCGGCCGGGTCGCGGGGGAGGTTACGCTTTCCGGACGCGGAGGCAGGTGGAGACAAATTCATGTGTGCACCGAGGCTTGTACTTCCTACTCGTGTCATTTCGTCAGCGTCCGTCGTCGTAACACTTGCTGGTACCGTCTCTCGCAAACCTTTCCCGCCTCACGGACCGATGCTATCGGCATCTCCCCGATGCTGCTGTCTGCTGTGCCTGCTGTGTCTGTGTCTACGGCACCGCGTATCTATCTAGGCGTGTGTCGAGCCGGGTCCGACTGGAATCGTGGGAATTCCCTGGATGGGGGAGCCACTTTACCATGAACCCACCGCCTGGGCTCGCCCTGTCGAACCCTAGCAAGGACAACGGGTGAGGCTTAGTGAAAGTAAATCATTGTTTGTGACACACAGAGATGATCGTTGTGTTTTACTTGTAGTGTGGTTCGCCTCATCCTTCGTGATGCTAGAAATGTGTACCATGTTGTACCCCTCTTGGGGTAGTTGGGTCGGGACCACGGAAGGCGTTTGCGTCAGTTGGACCAGTACCAATGTTGGAAGGTACTGGGTAGAGAGACCGGAACAACTTTAATGTGAAGACAACAACAACAACAACAACAAAAATCTGTTCGGGCGCCAGGCTACACCTTCCGGCACGTCTTTGACGCTCCAGCCGGTGGCGGTTTGGTAGTCATTTAGATGTGATAGATCAGCCTTTCGCGCTGCTCGATATAATCAATGGGGTCTCTGTGTGTTCGACATAATTGGCAGCATGACGAACTCACCACAAGACCCATCTTGCTGTGCTGCGCTTGACTTGCGACAAGCATTGTCCTACAACAAACTCCCGCTGTGTGCTACTGTCTGCGCGGTGTTCGCCTCTATTGGAAACCCCGCCGGCGCTTTCTGCCACCGCTTTGACGTTTTTTTATGCCACGTGTCTTGGCAGGGGCCACGAGAAGCTGGGAGAGTGGTACGCGACGGCAATAAGCGGAAACGACATCCTCTCGAGGTGAAGCCCAACGCGGGTGCTGTAGATCATTCCCGTGCAGATGATTTTCGGTCTCGCTTGCTGAATGATTCCCATTTGACCTGTAGTTCCGCTCTCCTGAACGAAACACGTGTTTAGAGCGTCTTAATGACCATTGTGAACGAGCTCTTTTTCGTGCCAGGAAGAAACAAGAAAATGGGGGAAACCCTAAATGCATCTGTATCTGCTTTCATAGCCAGACGAGATACCTTTTTTAAGCCTCGTGTTGGGCGTTATTTTTTTTCATTCATTTTGGAGACGGTTTAATTAGCAGCATTGCACTTGCGCGGGGTCGAGAACCCTCACTTCGCGCAAAAGGGATAATCGCACCACGTTGTGTTAAGTTGGTCAAGCACCCTCGAGGCAGTTACACAGTGCTTACAACTGTCTCTGGAAGTGAAAGCACCAGAAAATAAATTAAGTCATACGGAGCTGTCATCCGTACGCAAGGAAGTCAGCACAAGTTGCCGAACACCCTTAGCAGGATGCAGGGTACCCTCCATGCGACTCGCCGAATACCTCACGGCGCTTCGCGCTTGGTGATGTAAGAGCCTGGTCCGGTGAAAACCCGGCGTGCTCCGTCCCGGCTTTGTAGGGATGCGAGGTCAATGGTCTAACGTCTACGGCATGCCCGACTATGAGTACACCCCCCCCTTCCGTCCCCTGTCCTCCAGTGTGCTGTACGTGACTGGCCTGGTGACCGGATTCGCTGGCTGGTTATCCCCGGTGTGCCTGCTCATGGTCGCGGGGATCCTCTACCTCTACAGGCAAGCAAAGGCGCAAGTAGCTCTCTCTCTGTCAACCTGTTTGTTGTAGTGATACCAGGTTCTCTTTTCTCAAGCTCTGTCGCCAACGGGGGTCCCGAAGTAGCAACGTTCGGTGCTCCCTCGCTCATCTGAGTTGTTGTTGTTGTTGTTGTTGTTGTTGTTGTTGTTGTTTTTCTTGTCGACATCGCCGGCATTGTCGTGGTTGTCGTTGTTGCTGTTCGTTGTTTGTTGTCGTTGTTGCTGTTGGCGTTGTGGTCGGTTCTGGTGTTGTTGCTCCCAGCCGAAGGCCTTCTTGCGCCCGTTCGACCACCATGCGGCGGTACCGATCACACGTTAGCCAACACCCAACACCTCATCAGTGGGACTCACGCTGTATCGGGAGGGCAGAGCAGCAGTGAGAGCGTAAGCCGTGGTCGACACGCTCTCATGTTTTTGTTTTCAAGGGTGCACGAAGAAACATTTCTTGCACGCCTAGATGCCTTCAGAGGGCCTGGAGGAGGGTACTCTAGAACCAAGTGAAAATGTAGATTCAGCTTTTTTAACCTTGCTCGAAAGTACTGCTGTGGCGTTGACTTTCGTTTCACTCTGCGTTGTGTACGTTTTTTTTTTCATTCTTTTGAACGCGTGTTTCGTGCTTGCTTGTGTTTTTCGGCAGGTTTATCTACGGCGAAGCAATCTCCGCGTTGCCGATGAACGGCGGCGCGTACAACGTGCTGATCAACACGACCAGCAAGCCGGTGGCATCCTTCGCCGCTTGCCTTGCCGTCATCTCGTACATCGCCACCGGGGTCGTCTCCGCCGCAACCGCCGTCTCCTACCTACAGGTACGTACATGCCCGTCTTGACTGGCGCTGGAAAAACTCAACATGGCGCAGAGTTATTTCTCGAGCGGGTAGTCTTTCTTTGTTTTGTAAGTGTTGTTGTTTTTGTTGCTGTTAGGGTTGTTGTTGTTGTTGTTGTCTTCACATTATCTACCGTTCCGGTCTTCGCTCAGTACCTCCTAACGTCCGTACTGGTCCACCATATATTTTCGAAAAGGGCTATAGCGCCGATCAAGGATTCCGCGTTTCAATCAATAGCCACGGCCTTTTCTCCGATGTGACTAAGTACGCCTTCAACGAATATTGAGAACGCCAACGGCTCCATCACGGGTACTCTCGGGCCCCAACTCACCGGTACACAGGGCCACCTGTTCCATGGTATGGACGACGATGCGGGTACGAACGGTGTCTTGCCGGGTAACCGCAATGACACCAATGCCCGTGTCGTTTGAGATACCGTGGTTTCTTTGCATAAATGGGAACGTCGTATTTGGTGACCCCGAGGTTGCGGCTAGTTGTGCTTCCACCCCTTTCGGATTGAGCGTTGGTGGTTGCGGAGTACCCACTATTGCACCTAGTTCGTGTAAAAGGCTTGGTGATGGCAGAAAAGGGGAGTGATGTGTAATCAGAACCCGCCACCGCCGAAGAAGCTGGGACTCGAGAATTTCAGGGCAGAAAATTTTGAAAATTCGGAAGTTGACGTACGAGCAGGGCAGTAAGGCCTAAAATGAACGAACCAAACCTACAGTACGTCGATCATTGTGGGTGATACCTCACAGAGTAAATGAGAAACGAGTCTGCGGCAATTGGGTCTTAGGTGTCGCCACTTGCATTTCGCTACGTAATTGTGCCGCCTCCTTTTGTTATGTCGCCGACGACGACGACGTTGCCCTTCCTCCTGTTGGTGGTCGTGGTGCTGCTGAAGCGGTCGCTGATCGTGGTGACGGGTACATGTGACGATGTTGCCGCTCCCACTGCCGTTGCCGCTGCTGCTGCTGTCGCTATCGCTGTTGTTGCTGCCTCTGCTGTCGCTGCTGACGTTGTTGTTGTTCTTGCGGTTTTTGCCGCTTCTGTCGCTGCTGACGTTGCTGTCGCTGCTGTCGCTGCTGTCGCTGCTGTCGCTGCTGTCGCTGCTGCGGCTGATGCTGCTGTTGCCGTTGCTTCTCCTGCTGCTGTTGCCTCTGCTGCTGATGCTGCTGATACTGTTGCCTCTGGTGGTGGTGGTGGTGGTGGTGCTTTCATTGACGGCTGTGTTGCCTGTTCATGACTCTACGCCGGCGACGTTCGTGCCGCGATGCAGACGCTGATACCAGCGGCCGGGTTGATGACATGCACCATCGGCCTTCTGTTTTTCTTCGCCTGCCTCATGACCATGGGTGAGAACGAAAGATCTGAATCATTTGGAGGCACCGGTGACACACCAGAAGAATATTTCCTGTATCATACCAATAATGCGAACAGGACAAGGCGAAAATGTTGCCGAAAGTTGCTACTGCCACTGATACCGCAACTGCTGCTGCTGCTGCTGCTGTTGCTGCCTCCCCTGTAATCGGTTGCACGTACCAGGTATCTCCGAGTCGGCGGGCGTAGCGTTAGGAATGTTCGTCGTACACGTGTTTACACTAACGGCGGTGTGTGTCTTGTCGGCGTGTTACGCCTTCTACAACGTCACCATCCTCAAGGAAAACCTGCAACAGGTGCTTTTGGCCGCCTGTTGGTTGTTGTTGTTTTTGGTGTCGTCGTCTTGGATTTTCTTGTTTCGATGTTGCCGTTGTTTTCGAAACGGCCCTTGGGTGCCTGTACGGTAACACCCGCCCCTCGACGACCTTGCATCAAAGTTGCACTACTAAGCAGTTAGCGTTGTGTGTGATGCTGCTATGTTTGGTGTCCTTTTTGTTCAATGGTGGAGGGAAAGCACTCCAAGCGGGGGCAGGTGCTTCTCACACCGGCAGTCTTCCCTTCCACGGTACTACTCTTAGCCCCATGCCATTTGCTACCTGGTCGTCAGTGAACGTTGTGCTTGTTTCTGTTGCTGCTGCTCTGATGTCTTCGACCCCGTTTAGTATCGGGCAAGACGCACTCTCCAAGCTTTATCGCATTGTGCTCGAATCTGGTACCGTTTTCCAACCTGAACGCGATTCCTTCTGGAAACGCACTCAGGATTTCCCCGCGGTGACGGTGGGCGGCACGGTGGTGGAAGGGACCTGGGTAACCGCAATATTGTTCGGGGTCTCCAGTGCCATGCTTGGCGTGTCGGGATTCGAGTCGTCCTCGCAGTTCGTTGAAGAGCAGGCCAAGGGCGTCTTCGTCAAGACCCTTCGTAACATGCAGGTGTCTTGCGGTCTGTGAGCGGAGGGTCCGTGGGTTTGGGGCGCCTGTGGGTACTCCGGTCTAACACGTGCAGATTGGTGGCGATTTGTGTTTGTTGGGTTTATCTTGAGCGCTATGCATCATGAATGATCATCGCTGTTTTTTCGAAGTTTGGGTATCCCTTCAGGTTCGACTCAACATCCAGGGTTTTCTCCCTAACGAGAGACGTGTGACGTACAGGTACGGCTACGATAATAGAAGTACCGACATAAGAGGAAGTACGAGTGAATATCGTTTGTGACGGCCATGACGAATACATGGCTTGTACTCCGTACGGTTTTAGAAATGGCTTGATAAATGAGTCCAGTTTTGGCTTGTCCAACCCTCGCTTTGATTTCTGTTTGCCGCCACTGTAGGCGGTATGATGTGCACCTGGCGTTGTGCGCGAAGACATTGGCGGTTCAGAGCGGACATTTCTGCGGTTATTTGGGATTTTCATGTGGAGATGGAAGATCCACGGGTGTGGTTGTTGTGCTTAGTTTGTTGCAAGAAAACTCACGAGATATGGCGTGCGACTTCGCGCTACTTGTCGTCGCCGTCAAACTCGCACAATAACATTGAATTCTACCACGAGTACAAGTCACATCACGATAGCAATTTCACCGTACTACGACGTTTGAGTTCACTGAGGCCAAGGCCTTGTTTCGTGTTGGAACAAGAACAATATTATCGAATCGGGCACAACTTCGACATGTGTTTTTTGTGCTCTACGCGCTTGCTTTTCTTTTCTTGGACATGCTGCCTGCCGTCGCCGGCGCTCGTGGTCCCAGTGGGGTGTTGCCGTCTTCAATCCCGCCATCTGCCTTCTGAGCTTGTGCGTATTGCCTATGGAGGAGATCATCGAGTACAAGGTGAGACTTTCTCGCGCGTATACCCGGCTCCGCGAAATTCCTCAGGGACAACTGACACATTTGTTTTCTCGCCATGTGCGTGTAGGGAAGTTTGTCCTGAAAGAGGTGAGGGTGGGCTGTCTTTGAGGGTGAGGATCGTTGAGTGATGATCGTTGGTGTCGGTGACCGTTGAGGATGATGATCGCTGGCGTCGAGGATTGTTGAGCATCGTTGGTCGTAAGGATCGTTGAGGGTGAGGATCGTTGGCGCCGAGGATCTTCGCGTCGTCGAGGGTGAGGACCGTTCGTGTCGAAGATCGCTGGCCTCGAGGGTTGTTGAGGGTGAGGATCGTTGACGTCGATGATCATGGGCGTCGAGGATCGTTGGGAGTGAGCATCGTTGGCGCCAAAGCAGCGTTGACGTCGAGGATCGTTGAACATCGTTGGGCATCGTTCACGTCGAGGATCTTCAGGAAAGTTGCGTATCATTGAGAGTGAGTATCGTTGACGCGGAGCATCGTTACCGTCGAGGGTCGCTGAGCAACGTTGAGCATAGTTGCGCACCGTCGGGGGTGAGGATCGTTGCTGTCGAGAATCGTGGGTGTGACCGTCGTTGACGTCGAGAATCGTTGGCGTCGATGATCGTTGACGGTGAGGATCGTTGGCTTCTATGATGGCTTCAAGGTGATGATCGTTGGGGTCGATGATCGTTGAGGGCGAGGCGAAGATCGTTGGCGTTGAGGATCTTTGGGGGTGAGGATAGTTAAGGGTGAGCACCGTTGGGGGTGAGGATCGTTGACGCGAAACATCATTGACGTCGATGATCGTTGAGCATCATTGAGCACCATTGAGCATCGTTGAGAGTGAGGGCCGTTGACGTCGAGGATCGTTGACGTCGAGTGTGAGGATCATTGAGCATGAGGATCGTTGAAGCCAAGGACCGTTGGCGTCGAGGATCGTCGAGGGTGAGCATCGTTGAGGATCGCTAAGGGCAAGGGTCGGTGAGCGTGACGATCGTTGAGGGTGAGGCCGAGCATTGGTGCAGAGCATCGCTGACAGTGAGCATCGTTGACGTGAGGCATAGTTGGCGTCGAGACTCGTTGCTCGTGAGGATAGTTGACGCCTAGAAAAGACGGCGTCGAGGATTGTTGAGCGTGAGGATCATTAACGCCTTACATAGTTGACGCCGAGGATCGCTGAAGTCGACGATGGTTGAGGCTGAGCATCGATGACTTCGAATATCATGGAGGGCGAAGGATCGTTGGCGTCGAAGATCGTTGGTCGTAAGGATCTTTGAGGGTGAGGATCATTGAGCGTGAGGGATGTTGAGGGGGAGTATTGTTGATGATCATTGGGCGTGGGCATCGTTGGGCGTCACTGAAAGTGTGGATTGAGCGTGACAATCGTTGAAGGTGAGCATCGTTCACGTTGAGGATCGTTGCTCGTGAGGATCGTTGAGCATTAGCATCGTTGGCGTCGAAGATCATTGGTCGTAAGGATCGTTGAGGGTGAGCGTGGTCGAGGATCGTTGAAACTGAGCATGGTTGAGGATCGTTGAGCGTGACAACGAGTCGACACCGAGCATCGTTGGGGGTGAAGATTGTTGATGCGAAGCATCGTTGACGCCGAGGATCGTTGACCGCGAGGATCATTGAAGTCGAGAATCGTTGAGGGTGACGATCGTTGACGTCGAGCATCGGTGACGACGAGCATCGTTCAGCGTCATTCAGCATCGTTCGAGCATCGCTGACAGTTAGCATGGTTGACGTGAAGCATAGTTGACGTCGAGGATCGTTGCTCGTGAGGATCGATGACTTCGAAGATCGTAGAGAGTCAGGATCGTTTAAACCAAGCATCATTGACGTCGAGGATC